AACCCGCTATTATGGACCATATTCAATGAATAACATTAAGAACTATTTAATAATAATTGAAATATAATGACAAACTAAATAAATTAGATTTTCAATAAATATTCTAACACATATTATCAAATTTCCTTTTTTTGATTTTAAAGCTATTTTACCTATTACAGTCAAAATTTTTAAATAAAATAGCTTTTAATAGAGACAATATATTTTAAAACAAATCAAAAAGTGTTATTTATAACATTATTAAAATAAACGACGAGAATAGGTTGTTTTAATCCTCTTTTTTAAGGGAGTATAATACTTAAAAGAAGATCAAAATATTAATTCTTCCTTTGAAAACTTCTTCGAAAGAAAAAAACTCCCAAAAGCAGTTCAATCTGAAAAATCCACAAATTTATGAGCCAAGACAAATTGCATTATAACAAGAAGAATCAATCACTAAAATCAATTCCGAAAGATTGTTTTTCAAACGCATCAGCCCTCCTTTCTGTCGACCTATCGAATAATGAAATAACCGTTTGCTATTTATTAAAAGTATTATAAGAATTTTATTAATTAACTGTGCTTCTTCGCTTATAGTAAACTAATATTATAATTATAATAAAAAATAACTTCAAGTCAATTCCAAAGGAAATCAGTGCGTTCAAAAGTTTGACTCATTTCCGTGTGATGGCGAACAGACTGACATGTTTGCCAAATAATATTGTCACTCTAACATGTCTCCGCCACTTGGACTTGAACGCAAATCAATTTACTTCGTTTCCGGTTCAAATCAGTAACTTGACAACTTTAGAAGAGTTGCAGATGATCCAAAACCAACTCACGGAAATCCCGGACTGCATTGGTAATCTGACAAACCTTCAGAGAATTTCATTCACCGCAAACAATTTGAAAGCTCTTCCAAAGTCACTTTCTAAATGCACTAATATCAACTTCGTTTGTTTCATACATTCTAAGACTTATTAAACAATTAATAAGACTGTGGTTTTCAAATACTCATTATAAGGTCGAACTTACTAGCAACGAATTCGATGTCTTTCCCGACGTCATCTGCGACTTAACGAAAGTCACCATATTGATGATGCAGCAGAACAATCTCAAAGAGATTCCTATGTCGATCAAGCGTCTTGAGAAACTAAGTGGCCTCTTGTTGTCCTCAAACCAATTTTCGACCTTCCCCGAGTCTGTCTGCGAAGTCACCTCTTTAACACAAATCGAATTGGACAATAATAACTTTGTCGAAATACCAAATTCGTTGTCTAAATTAGTGAAATTGAAGGCACTTGTACTCAACAAGTCATTCATCTCATGTTTGAATTCGGTGGATATGATGTCCAACTTGTGTCAAGTTGTACTCTCAGACACGAAATGTATGTTCCTCCCGGATCTCTCAACGAACGCGAAGTTGACTTCTTTGAATGTCATTCATGGTTGTCTGTCCGAGTTGAAGAGTCTTCCGCCATCATGTTCATGCCGTTTTACAGGTAATGTGATCGAAGACGTCGAATTTCCAGATAACGGGACTTTACAGTATATGATCTTGGCTAACAACAAACTGAAAACATCGCCGGACTTGTCCATGTTATCGAAGATCTCACGACTGGACATCTCACAGAACTGTATCACTTGGTTTGATGAGAAGACATGCCACCCAACTCTTCAACAGTTGGATGTCAGCTGCAACCCATTAGTCGAGTTCCCGGTCTGTCTCTCCAAATGTGTTTCTTTGAAGTCGCTCAATGTGTCAGACTGCCATTTGTTTGATGTGCCAGCCGCCGCATTGTCCACTCTAACGAATTTGGAAACCCTGTTCTTGGCATGCAACCATCTGAGCTCGTTGGAGAGTCTCTCTGTTATGACAAAGCTTAAAGCACTCTATTTACAGTCGAATAACCTCCTCCACTTCCCGAGAAGTGTCTTTGCTCTCGCAAGTCTGAAGACTCTATTCATGTCGAACAACCAAATTACTGTCATCCCAGACCAAATCACTCAACTCACCAATTTGGAGCAAATAGATCTGTGCTGCAATGCAATTCAAAGCTTCGATTCATTGACTAAAGTCCCCTCGTTAAAGGAAATCGACGTCTCGTTTAATTTCATTAAGGCACTTCCAGTAGATATTGAGAACTTGAAGAACTTGTGTGCTCTGAATGTGTTTGGCAACGAATTGTCTTACAAAGCCAAATTGCCACATCTCGAGAAAACAGTCGACTTCTTCCAAGTCCAACAAGTCGTCTTGAAAAATCCAAAGGATGAACCAGACACTAACTCTACGGTGTGCGA